TAGTGGCGAAATACCCATGATTTTTTTCCAGAAACAATACATTGTTTACACGTAGGGAGCGTTAAGTCCTTCCTAAGAGTAATTCCGTCTTTTTCAAGTCAGCATATTTTTTTGAAAGTTATATGGACGGAGTAATTTAATTAACTTATTCAATCATGATGGTAGATGTTATACATAATATTATTGCCATTTAAACTATATTATTTCGATCTTCTGTTAATCTGTTATAATGTGGTGGATCTGCGTCCTTATGTTGTAGATGAAATTACGTTTGCAGGTTTAGGATCAGGAAATAAACAACCTTTTATTTAAAAAATTGCTGACCCCCTACGTCTAAGGCTATTTTACGAGCCTAACATGGCTCGTTCCATTCTTCGTCGCGCTATTCCTATTTTGTTCGCACTATTTTTGGTTAAAGTTAGAGTTTCAGAACCATATGTCAGTACCGGTGGAGCACACTGATTATACACCTTCCGTTTCAGACAGATTGGGATGTCAAACCGGATACATGTCTTATTTTGCCAAAGCCTATCCAAATTATGCCTATTCTTCTACCAATCTCGCAGTTTGATTGTCTCTGTCAATACGTAGTTCGTGTCCTAGATTCTTGTAGGAACTCACTTGTTCAATAGTCTCTCCTCCAATGTACACACAGCCTCGCCCATCATCATGTTTGTCATAAGTGAGTCTTTGATCTATTTATTTTTAGACCCACACCAACAGATGCCGCATTAAGTCTCTTGAGCATATTTTTTGCTTCGGTAATACAGTCTGATATCAATACGATATCATCGGCGAATCTTAGATGATTTAGTTTTTCACTATCAATATTTATCTCCCTTATCTCCATATTTATAACCTTATCTCCAAAGTATAATACCCTATCCCCTACATATACAGGGTTGTTCACCACATACGACACGGAATATTGTAGCTAAACGATTAGATTTTTACAAATTGTAAGTTTTGGGTTCGTTGAAGGACTATTAGAGCTACAATTTAAAAATATTTTTACAACGTACAGAGTGTCCCAAATAAATAAAAAATATCAAAGTTGTATTTTTTTAAATGGAACACCTGTATTATTATTACATTTTTTTACGATTAAAATAAAGGTAAATTTGATTAGTTTATTACACTTAAACCACCGTTTTTGAAATATTTTCATTTTGTGAAATTGCAGTATAAATTTTAAGGGTTTCATTTTCTCGAGGGTATCAAAGTTTTAATATAAATATTTACTGAAGTTTATTTATTGATCAGTTATTGTGTTGCAATAATAAAAATTTTACTACGTTATACAGAGTGTCTAAATATTTATTTTAAATAATTATTAGCTTTAAACGGCAATAACTTGTTTAATTTAAATAGAACAGCCTGTATATTTTATGAGAATCAGATGCACAATTTAATTTTGTATCAAATTGTATTATACCATTTTTTACTTATCTCTTCAAGTTTCCGTAGAAAATGCATTTTCTTGTAATTTAACTCATTTATCAATATACCCATGGAATACTGACATTTTAGATTATTTTTAAAGATGTACCAAATTTTTAAAGAGTACAGATACTAATATTGTCGATATAGTTCGTTTATTTCATTAAAAAATAAAAAAACTGTTTAAATATTTGTTAAAGAGGACCAATTAATATGATTCCAGTATTCAAACTACATTAATTGACTGTTTGCGTTGATTAATAATAATTGCTCCAAATACTAAAAAACTGAATTATGTATGTGCATTAGACAGTGTGGTAAAAAAACTAACACCTTAAAAATGATATTTCATTTTTTGACAAATGCTTATTTATAACAGAGACGTTCATTTTCATAACTTATTATTACATTGATTTCTGATTCAAATCCACATTTATTTAGAATAATTTATTAACGAACACAATTAAATATGTAATTAATTAGTATTTGGGCGGAAACAATGGTGGTATATTTAATTAGTGGTATACTTTTTTATAAAGATTTAAATAGTTTTCTTTTTGCATACAAATGGGCTAGTAATATCGTTTTACTAAAAACGATAATATTACTAGCCTGTACATTTTGTACATTTGTTGTTTTAAAAAAATCTAAAATGTCAATATTCCATGGGTATATTGATAAATGAGGTCTAAATTGTAAGAAAATGCATTTTCTATGAAAACTTGAAGGGATAGTTAAAAAGTGGTCTAATACAATTTGATAAACAATTAAATTGTGCATCTGATTCTTATAAAATATACAGGGTGTTCCATTTAAATTAAACAAGTTATTGCCGTTTAAAGCTAGTACTTATTTAAAATAAATTTTTAGACACTCTGTATAAGGTAGTATAATTTTTATTCTTGCAACATAATAACTGATTAATAAATAAACTTCAGTAAATATTTAGTAATAAAAACTTTGATACCCTCGGAGAAATGAAGCCTTAAAATGTATTCTGCAATTTCATAAAATTGAAAATATTTCATAAACGGTAAGGTTTAAGTGTAATAAACCTTAATCAAATTTACCTTTATTTTAATCGCAGAAACTAAAAATGCACTAATATACAGGGTGTTCCATTTAAAAAAATACAACTTTGATATTTTTTATTCATTTGGGACACTCTGTATCTTGTAAAAATATTTTTAAATTGTAGCTCTAATAGTCCTTCAACGAACCCAAAACTTACAATTTGTAGAAATCTAATCGTTTAGCTACAATACTCCGTGTCGTATGTGGTGAACAACCCTGTATACCCTATGTCGGGTGCGTCTTAAAAGTGGCTCATCCCTATAACTTTTTTATTCTTTCAGATAAAAAACGAGATTCGTATATGACATAAATTGGGATTGATTGACACTTTGGATTGACACATTCAATTGTTTTTGTTCACTTCCTGTTTCACCGGAAATGACTATAACTTTTGATTTTTTAATAGCACCCTCGGTATTTTTTTACTTTTGACATTCTCGCTTAATAAAAAATCTTATTTTAAAATTCAACCTAGAGTGCCATGACTATTAAAAACACTAATTCTTAATCAAGGAGCCTTGGAAAAATAAATTTGATCGTCTAATGTTTTTAGTGTCTTGTCCTGGCCAGTTAGAAAATGCTCAAATCGTATTTTTAATCATATCTCAATTTTTTTAAATAGAACGAGGGTGGCTCATTAGCGTATTTGGAAAAAGAATTTTTTTACGAATAATTTGATACCACACACTTGGTATTTCAAGTCAAATTTTCGTTACTAACCGCAAGTTATAATTTCAAAATAAACCATAGGCAGAACTGTTAAAAGTTGACATATGATATGTCATTCTATTCAGAGTGTTATTTCCTATATGTCATATAATAACATACCTAATCTCGTTTTTTTAACTGAAAAAATAAAAAAGATATAGGGGGTGAGCCACTTTTGAGACGCACCCGGTATACCTAAATCCCGTATAATACCCTTTCCCTTATCTCCAAAGTCAACTCGCTTGAACATATATTCTAAAAAGGTAATGAATAATTTTGGTGATATAACTTCACCTTGTCGAAATCCCTATTTTAATAATCAATTTTAAAATCTGCTGTGTTCTCGTGGAGCCTCACAATGCTTTTGCATTGTTTATATGTGTCTGATGATTGTTATGTATCTGCGACAAAATAAAAACACTAAATCACCACAATACACCAAAACACGTGTATTGTGGTGATTTAGTGTTTTTATTTTGCTGTTTAACACCAAAGGTTCCAACCCTCAACTGTAATGTATCTGCGATCTACCCGGAATTCGGTTAAGGCTTTTAGCATCTTATCCTGATTTTTTGTATCAAACGCCGTCCCGTAATCGACCAAAATTAAAATCAGTCTGGTTGTATTCTACAGATTTTTCGATTAGGGTCTTAATGACTTGGAGATGATCATTTGTGCCGTGTCCAAAAATCCAGCTTGCCTTCTGGGTTGGTACAAGTCCAATTTGTGGGTTATTCAGTTGGTAATAATGCGCATGAACAGTTTGTACATATGGGAAAGCAAACTTATTGGACGATAGTTAGCCAGCAGTGGGATTCTGTAAGCTCCGTAGCAAGAAATTTCCTGTCTGGCTAGCCTATGCTATTTGTATACGTTTACAGAATTGGGTTCCATGTTCGTAATGTGCCCCTTCTTGTGAATAATAATTATTACCGCTCGATTCCATTGTGAAGGAGGTACTCCATTTTCTAAACAAGCATTTAAGAAAATTTCTATAGCGTGCAGAAGTTTTGGATTGGCGATTTATTATTCTTAATATCTTTTAAAGAGTTTCTTATTTCCTCAGTGGTAATATCTGGTAAATCTTTGGATCCCTGATTTTGTATGCGTGGAATTTCTTCGTGTTCTACACCATTAGTTTTAGTATACAACGCAGTAAATAAAAATGTTTAACTACATTTAGAATTTCGTGTTTGGCCACTGTGATTTGTCCGTTTTTAATTCTTAATTTGCAAATATTTCTCTCCCCTCTGTTAAAGTTTTTCTCATTATATATGCATTTCCAGTTTGTTTTGTTATTATTTTTCTGCTTTATTTTCTAATATTAATAATTACTTTCGTACTCACTATTCTATGATCACTCCCAATAATTGAGCGTTTATTTAACACCTCAACATCCTGAATAATCTCTTTTTTATTAGTATCACTATCTTTATCGGTTTTATAATTGTCGCTCACCTACAAATTGTAATTTAAACTTCTCCAAAGAAAAACGAGATAAAGTTGGCTTTGCATCTTGACTATCGACGACATTCACCATAAAATTTTACGTATAAAATGACAGTGATCTTCATTTCCAGGCTAACTTTGACCCGGCTGTTTTCCGATGCTGTAGATCTTCTTGCAGCCCTAAAGAGAAGAAAGAAACGGTAAAAGTAATTATACGCCGATCCATAGACACAGGGAGAAAACCGTAAAATTTGTGAACTATTAAAAAGCATACAACAAACTTCCGCTCGTCTCGACGGACGGCAAAAGAAAATTAAATTTAGAAACGCGCTCGCCAGTCTTTGGCAAGAGACCGTCCCGTTCAGATCGAAATAACTAGTGACGCAGTAGGTGTCCATATAAACGCGTGTGGCCCTCCATAGCGGAAAAATGTCCGACAATGGCGAGGAAAGCCTGGTGGAGACTGTCGAGGAGAGCTATGAGACGGAGGTCAAACGCAAGGTCGTCACCAAGACCAAGATGAAAATCCAAGAAGTAAGTGCGGATTGTCGTTTTTTTATGTAACACACTATTACAACGCCGTCACACGCACACAGTGCTCTACCCCGGACCCACTTGTCACATGAACACGTGCCGAATAATACAATTATTCGACGCGACATGCCCAAAGCGATGCGCGTCACCTAGGTTTCATACTACACGACCTGAACGGAGCTGGTGTCACAAAAATGTCACATTTTCTTTCGTCAAAACATAAAGGACCAAACAACGAAAACAGAAATACTATTCCTTTATGCAAAAGATAAACGAATAAACAGAGAAACAGAATCGGCTGCTCATGACGTTGGGATTTTACAAAATAAAGTTAAAAATAGGTGTTGCCAAAAGCTGAATGCTCGCCGAAAATTGTTAACCGTTCCCATGTCAATAATTTATCAAAACAGAAGAAAAATATGGCGCAACACAAATATTTTGAATAAAATAAATAAAAATGTGAATTTTCTCATGCCAAATATTGTTCAGTGTCATTTTCTCAACACTAAATAAAATATTTTTCGAAATATAATCGGTTGTGCGGTGTTATCACTATTCCTAAATAAAAAAAAACTACTGAGAATCATCTGTAGGTGCATATTAATAGCACTACATTAACATTTGATTATTTTTTTAAGTTTGAAATAGTATAAATTTGTTTCTTTGATTTAATTACGATTTTAATTAGAGAATATTTTTCAACCATTTTATAGAAATTAATAACGTCATTATGCATTTAATTAATAAGTTAAACAGACAATGCAATTTTATTCGATTATATTTTAATATGACGTTAAACATTTTATTAAAATTAATTAATTGCCAAATTAAATTTATTGATTTGACAATTGTAATTTCAGGAGTTTAATGAAGTATTCTTATCAATCGCTTATTAGTATTGTGTATGTTTTGTAGACAAAAGCATTTGTTGACTTTTCAATACAAAACACTAATGAAACTGTATTTATTTTTGTTTACAATTATACTTACTTCAAAAATCAGAAATTATTTTGTACACTAGAAAATATTTTTTTTTATTTTCTCTTTTAATATGTAATATTTTGTTTCGAAAAAATAATAATGTATTATTATATTCTAATAATACAACAATAATCTTCTTAATTCAAGATATTATATGTTTTGTTTTTGTTCTTATACTTTAATTTATTCTACGTTAAGTTTAATATTAACATTACGTTTACAATTTTCTTATGATCTAATTTGAAACAGTTGGAAATACATATATTTCAAAATGTTCAATTGGGCATATTTATAATTATTGCAAATGAACAATTAATTAATGGACAATGGAATTAGACATAAAATTTCTATATAGATATAAAAATAGATTCTATCAAATTTTACATTTTCACAAGATAATATTTTTAATTTTCTTCTTATTTGAAAAGCTATTAGACTTGGACATAGCTTTGCATTACACATTTTATCATGTTTCTCTTCATAATTATCTTCAATTATTTCAAAAATGTATTTTGGGTACTCTTAATTGAATATTTTTCAAAATTTAATGAATTTTGAGTATTTTTTTGGCACGAACTTTGGTATTTGAATGAGATATTTACTGAATCATTTTAACTTTTACTTAATGGAGAACGGTTAGTTCAAAAAAATTAGTTAAATATTAATAACAAATAATTTTTTTATTGGATTTCATCATAACATTTTTGTTAATTATGACAACTTACTATAATACACTATATACAACTACTATAATAAAACTAACTTAAAATCAGAATATTAAGCAAGTGATTAAACAGATACCTAGTTATTATTAAATATAAAATCATTCTTGTGTGTACTTTATTTTAAACGGAGAAACCGTAATAACTTTACTATATGAATAACAGTTAAATACAAATATTACTATACCAGTAGCGTCCCAAATATCATTACAATTACAACGAACTTATGAGCCGAAAAATAGAATTCGTAGGATGTAAAAAAAGATCAACACAATTATCCATTTGAAATAACTCTTTAATGAATACATCGTTTATAAATACTCACTAAAGGTTGTTATCATGTAAAAATATCTGGTAAATTATGTTAATAATGTTTATGAATTTATTTCTATATGACAAAGTATAACATTGGAATATATCTATGTTTAAGGTAAGTTTTTAATTTGGTTGTTGTAATTATTAACTAACACTGTTTTATTATTTTTAATATAAGGAAAGAAATATGTTCGACTTGAAAAAGACATTTGGGTTGTCGACACGTTGTCATATAGAAATACATTGATAAACATTATTAACGTAATTTAAATCCCACACAAAAAAATAATGACCTAAAGCTAAGAAAAACCTCCCATATATACAGGTCGAAGAAAACTGAGACTAATAAAAAATTAATATCTGGTAATATGCATTTATTGTTTAACTAGGTAATTTTAAGGAATACTATACATATTTTAAGGAATACATAAGCAATGATAAATATTTTTTATATGATAATATAAAACATACCTACCTTTGATAGCATAAAGAATTTTATGAATAAGTTAGTTTTGGTGTTTACTGATCATTGTGTGTTAATTTCTGGAAAAACAACTGTTGTTTATATTTAGAAGTAGATGTCAGGTATAGTCTGTCCAGCATAATATTATATTATGACAGTAGCAGTTGCTTGTTATTTACTTAGATATGCGATGTTTTTTGTAGTGTATAGCGTTACGGTATCGTGGGATATAGACAAGGGTATTTTTAATCATATCTCAATTTTTTCAAACGGAACGAGGGCATATTAGCATATTTAGAAAAAGCATATTTTTACGAATAATTTGGTACCACACACTTAGTATTTCGAGTCAAGTTGTCGTTATGAACCGCATGTTACAATTTCAATAAATCGTATGCGAAAATGTCAACAGTTGACATATGATATGTCATTCTATTAAGTGTCATTTTCTATCGAATAAAGTAAAAAAAAATATTGTGGGTGCCATTTAAAAATCAAAAATTGTAGTTATTTAAGTTGGAAAAAATTGCTTATTGATCTATATTAGATCAGATTGTAATTAAAAGGGAAATTAAAACAACTTTCGTTGCACGTCATCAATGACACCATGCGTCGTCTTATGGAGTTTGCTAATGGTCGTATTATGATGTGCAATGAAAGTTATCTTAATTTCCCTACAGTAAATTCCCTCCAGGGTAATTTCCTAATACAAAAAAAATCCGGTGAAACAGAGAGTGACCGTAAATAATTGAATATGTCAATCAATCCCAATTTATGCCATATATCTATTAACATACCAAATAACTTTTTTTTATCTGAAAAAATAAAAAAGTTATAGGGGGTGAGCCACTTTTTTCGTTTCATGATCATGATTAACTAGCACACAACATAACAATCAAAATATTCAAAGCAATCAGATCAGCATTAAAAAAAAGAGAAAAACAAAAGAGTAAAACCCAAGCAATCAAAACACGCTTACAGTGTTCAGTATACCGGGTGCGGCCAAACCAAACATACCAAATTACTTTTTTTATCTGAAAAAATTAAAAAGTTATAGGGGTGAGCCACTTTTGAGACGCACCCGGTATGCTGAACACTGTAAGCGTGTTTTGATTGCTTGGGCTTCATTCACTCTTTTGTTTTTCTCTTTTTTTAATGTTCAATTGATTGCTTTGAATATTTTGATTTGTTATGTATGCTTGTTAATCATGACCATGAAATGAAAAAACGTACCGGTAAGTAAACGCCTCTGGACTCAACCAATCAAAGCGTTTACGGTAACAGTATATGGAATACGGTAACTTAAAGCTATGGATTTTTTACATTTTTTGGATTTCGTCTGTCGGAATCAAAATAGTTCCTTGTTGGACAGTTTATTTATATTCGTCTTTGATAGTAAACCTATTTTATTTACAACCATATAAGTAATGTTGACATTTCCGACTTTTTGAAGGTTGGAAAATGTCCGTTTTCCTATCCTAACCTAACCTAACCTAAACTAACTTTTACTTCCCACCCAAGGGTGGAAAGTTTACTTCCAACCCGTGGACGGGAAGTCAATACAGATTTTTAAATTAGGACGAAAACATTTTTTAAAGATTTTATTTTGATAAAATGCTGCCTTAATTGAAACTTTTTTTATAGAAAACTCTTTTAAGCAAACTACAATCGGTGCTACAATGTCCTATTAGGTACATGTTGTATTAAAAGTATTAAAATAAAAACTTTAAAACAACAAATAACTATTGATTCAAATTAATTGTTACATTCGAATTATTATATGCTTTCACACTTATGGATATACCACCTTGTTGGTGTGTTTTGGTAGTTGATATTGCAATTTCTTCATTTTTTCCTGTCGCATATTGATTGTCATTTAAATTGTCCAGGATACTGTTAGGACTGAAGGTACTCCGAGACGTAGATGGCATGGACAGCATTTCAGCTGTTTCAAATTGAGTGTCTAAAGACGAATCCACGTACCCTTCGGCCACTGCGCTAGACTTCCACCCACCTAAACATTTAAGTTGTAGAACATCTCCTCCACTGTTGGTAAGCAATGTCGCAGCCGTTCGTCTAAATGAATGTCCGGTAAATCCGAGGGTAAATCTCTCTGGTTGTGGTAGTTTTAAAAAGGTCAATTTTCTTCGGGAACTGGGAAATTGAGTTGTGACTAAACGGTTGGTTTTTGTTGCTTTTCCAAAGCGGCACTGAATAAAAAATTTGTCGTTTTTAATATTGTCCCGTAACTGAACATAATTTTTAAGAACTTTGACCCAACTGGTATCAGTTATTAAAAAAGATATACTGATGTAGGTCTTTGTCTGCGGAATTTCAATTGACACTTTTTCTTTTATTACGTTCACGTCTTTTATTTCCATTTTCAACAATTCATCGCTTCTGCAAGCCCCAGATACACCGATTACCAGCGCAGCCTAAAACAACAGGAAACAGGAGTGTTATTAGATACGATTCTAAAATGGGCATACCAAAAAGAGTCAAAAGGTTAAATTTATATT